TTCTGTAAATTTCCCCTAATGAATGAAAACATGCAGCATTACAAGTTTTCATACTTTCCCACATGGTTTCTGTCATCATACATGCGAAGCACTCTTCTATAAACTGCAAACAAAGGCCGGTTCAAACCCCATGCTATAGTCCTGTAGAAATCTTTTCTTTCGTCTTTTGACATCTCAAAGATGATTTCGGTAGCATCTTTTATTCCGCGTGCCTAAATGGGTTACATTTCTTTGATTTAGGGATTTCTGATAAAATGCATCTGGATAACTTGTTTTAATGTTAAAGGTAACCAATTACACTTAACAAAAAAAAAAATACTGTTAATAAAGTCAAGTATAAAGTTAAAAATGACACTTGAAGGCTCCGAAACCAAATCATATTAAATTCAATTTGTTATTTCCTTCTAAAACCATGAAAAACTAAAGAAAGAAGAAAATCATAAGAGCAAAATTAACTGAGTTGGTAATTAAAGTACTGAAAGGGTAAATGAATCAAGAAATTGGTTCTTTCAAAAGATACATTAAGATTAAAATTCAAATGATAAACTTCTGACAACATTTTAAAAAAAAGAAAAACAATAGGAATAAACAATGGAGTCTAAATACAGACACTATTGAGATTACAAAATAAAATAACATTAAGAACAAATTTATAATACATTTAAACAAAGAAAATGAATCAATTCCCAGAAAAAGTCAACTTATCAAAGCTCAGTGTAAAGATAGAAAATCAAATAGCCACAGACCAAGAAAAGAAAGTTTAATCACTCATTAATTCATCTTCCCACAGCAAAAACACCAGGCCTAATGACATCACAGATTCAATTCTACCAAAGAGCCAAGAGACACCGAACTCTGATGTGAAACTATTTTCAGATAAAAAGAAATTGGGAATACCTTGTTGGTCACTGTATCGGGCCAGCACAAGCTCAGCAGCAAAGCCAGAGCAAGGCAGTCACAGAAAATAATTTTCAGGCCATGTGCATTCATTAACATAGACCCCCAACTCCTACTGTTTTACAACACATCAAACTCAGCAATACACAAAAGTTACACATCAGTACAAAAACTGACTTTATCCCAGGAATAAAAGTTTGTGTCAAATTCAGAAAAATTATTAATGAATTAATTACATCAAAAAAGTGTAAAATCTCAATAAATGTGGAAAAAGTATCCACAGAATTCAATATTCATATATGAGAAAATTTAACCAATTAGAATATGCTGCTAATCTAATAAATGACAAAAATAAAAATAAAGACTGGAAAGAATCATATGAAGATAATGTAATATATGTAGAAACCTGATAATCTATAAAAAATGACTAAAAAAAGGCATTTTAGAAAGGATGTGAGATACAAAAATCAACACAGGATATCAGCATTTACATTTCTATAAAAAACTTATAAAATAGCTTTACAAGTTCTCATTTACAACAGCAACAAAATTAAAAGTACCATGATTAAATTTTAGGCGTATTATGAAGGTGTTTTATGGGAAATGTAAATTTGGTAGAACATTAAAGAGAAACTGACTAAAATGGAGAGTTATACCATATACTTCAATAGGAAGAGAAAAAATACAGTAAAGGTGTTAATTCCTCCAAACTGATACACAGATTCAATGTAATCCCAATAAAAATTATGTAAGGTAGACTAAAAAAAGGACTGACCATCACAGCAAGGCCGGGATGTGGTAATCAATGTAGAAAAAGGCAAGACACAGAAGCCCTAACATTTGTTAAGTGAAAAAATTAGCATGAAAGGCTGGAAAGTTACAAAGCATGAAAAGTTATAAAACTTTTATAATACATGAGAATATCTTCATGGCTTTCACATGGGAGATTTCTTAAACAAGGACACAAAATAAAGTAAAAAAGATGATAAACTTGATATTGAAACTGGGAAATCAGTAAATTAGGGGCAAGATGTCTATAATAAAAATAGGCAATAAACTTAGTATACAACATACATTAAGTAGGTCAAATGAAAAAGAGAACTTCATAAGAAAACAAGTAAAAGACAAAAAGAGGAATTTCAAAGAAGAAACACAAATGGCCAAGTAAGCATATAAAAATGATATTTCTAATTATTATGTATTGCAAACGTATACCAATAAAAATATTACCAGAGTAATATTAATTAAAACTATAACGAAATACCATTAAGAAAATACTTGTGAAAAAACTATAAAGAACATGTAAGTAGCCACTAACTATGGAATCAGTAACATATTTTTGCATAATGAAATAAAGCTAAACAAATCAACAAATACCAAATCAAAACAATGAGCAAAAGAAGCAACTTCACAATATTCTGAGAATGAACCTGGGTATTTTAAGTTACATAAATTTCAAAACCAGGTAAAAGTAAAATTACATGGTTATGCATTTTAGATATTTCTGAATGTGTGAAACTTCACAGTAAAAATTTTACTAAGTCCTTGATCATGCAGTTCCTAGTCAACAGACCATCTTAACTCCCCAAATCTAGCATGGCTGTTTTCTACCATCTTACCTAAAACCATAGCATTTTTCAGTTTTAACTAAAGTGTTTGTGATGGGTGGACAACTTTTAATATATTTCTGAATATATTTTCAATGTTTGCTATTTTTGTTTCTCTTCAGACAATAAATCTGGTGGAAGAACCCTCATTTATTAGTAAAGACAAGGACTCAGCTCAACTCTTGTTCTTCTAAAAATCGCCCTAACTGTTCCAAGCCCAAGAACACACTCTTCCTTCTCTGACTCCACAGTGCAACTTACAGGCAAAAAGCCTTGTTTCATTCTTCACCTGTTTTCAGTTTTCCCAAGTGGACTATGAGCTTTGCAAAAGCAAACATCACATGTTAAGGAAATTCTTGTCTCTAGTGCCTCAAAATACTGTGTTCAAAGCATTTTAATAAGAGAACAAAGCTAGCAAGAAAGAAGCCTGAATGTGAATATGAACTAAAACCTTTCTACAGAAGAACTCATACGATATAAATTCAAAGAACATGCATACCTTGGGCTTTATTCATTTTTTGAGCCAGGGTCTTGCTACGTAGTTCAGGCTGGCCTTGAACACACTATGTAGCCCAGGCTGGCCTCAAACTTGCAATCCTTCTGCCCCAGCCTGCTGAGTGCTAGGACTGCAGGTGTGTGCAACTATGCCTGACACCCTAGGTTTTATATAATGTAAATTAAACTAATTTACAGCCTGCTTGAAAAGACAACAAAGCAAAAGATATTGAGAGGCAACTATAACTATATTATACTTTAGGATTATTAAACCAAAACGTATTAGTAGAGCTCTGAATAAGTACATATAAAACTGCTTGGGTATTTTGCAACTAGCAGTAAACAAATTAGTGAAAAATAAAAATATATCACAGGTACCTTTAGATAGCGTTCAATATTGTTCATCAAAATATCAATTTCTTCCTTAGACCACATCCCCTGCTTCCATTTATGTCCTTTAAAAGAAAACAAGGAATGTTATAAAAAATGTTACATCGCAAGAATAACATACTAAAGATTTGCTTTGTGATTATCAGTTGGAATACAATGTAGCTAATTTAACTTCTCATCCATCTGAAATAGGAAAAATTCCCAGGTAATAGTGATTCTGCAACCTCTGGTTTTTAAGTAGACATACTACCTTCTTTTATCTTTTCAGAAATATAAAACTGTTAACAACAGAGTTATAAATACACAAAAAGCTAATTATACTAAAAACATTTTGAAAAATTTCTCCAGTAAAAAAGTTAAGTTCTGGCTGGGAATGGTAGCACATGGCTATATTTCTAGCTACTTGGGAGGAGGTTGAGGCAAGACTGCAAATTCAAGGTCAGATTGGGCAACTCAGTGAAACCTTGTCTCAAAACAAATTTTAAAAAAGAACGTTTCAAGGCAAAAGAGCATGTATAAAAGATTCTAGGGAAAGATAAACAAGACAATAGACACCGAGTGAGTAATGTATTCCCAGCTATTTCCTGAGACAATCAGTGTGGTCACCTCTGTGCCCTTGCTTGCAGGCAGCCTGTCTACCCCATGCTGTTTTGCAGCAGCCTCTCAGCTCCTCGCCAGCGCAGCAGCACCACAATGTACACAGCTACCTGAAGCTTCCACAAGTTGCTCTTCAGACTGAATTAGCAGATCCTGAGAAGGCCTGACTTCTTGCTCTCTTCAGCCATAACTGCATAGTCTGTTAAACCCCATCTCTCTGCCTCTGCTCAACTCCCTTCCCTCCCTTTCTTTCTGGGGTACTGAGGACTGAACCCGGAGTTGTGGCACTGATTCCTATCTCCCACCCTTTACTCTTCTGAGACAGGGGGCTCCCTGAGTTGCTGAGCTGCCCAAGCTGGGCTGGAACTTTAGATCCTCCTGCCTCAGCAGCCAGAGCACTAGAATCACAGATGTGTGCCACCACACCTGGTTATTTGCTCCAAATTTAAAAAACAAAATCTATTTTGTTATCAGAAAGAAAAAAATAATAACAAATGTTAGTTTCTGGGCTCAGTTCAAAGTCATTCAGGGCGAAGTTTACATAATGATTGTACCTACTTAAGCACAGTGATGAAGGCTCAACACAGAACTTTATGAGACCCTTTTACTTCTATTTTTCTAGCTGAGCAATGTATTTCGTAGTGTACCTTACCTTTGTTAGTTAGAGAATCCTTATCTTCTTTAGTTGTAAACCATGCTTGACTAACTGCTGAAACTTCCTCATTACCCAAGGGAGAGATTTCATCTAGTTGTTCATTCTGTAAAATCTTAAATAAGTATAAAAAAAATTAACACTCAGTATGATCCATCTTTGTTTATAAATGCTAGGCCTAGTAAAACTAATATAATCGTATGGAATCCACTTTTTTAGATACAGTAAAACATTCCTTGCTTTTAATTCAGCAGCATAAGGACAATACTGTTGGCGTTAACACAACAGGACCCTTATTAAGCAAGTAACTATACTAGTGGCTTCCTTTTTTAATAATGTCAAGCAACCTTGAATCACGTATTTAAATCAGTACTGGATATCCCAAAACCATTTGTGGATCTTTGTAGAATGAGCTTATACATATAGCTGTGATCAGTTCCAAACAGGAAATGAAAATACTAGGGCTGGGTATTACAACTGGTTACTGTCCTCACAGGTAGTCTGCTACCTAAATAGACATAGTTAACTGTAATTTCTTGTCAAATTTAAAGGATTTACAGGCCACAAGACCTAACTACAGAGCTCCTGTGTGCTTATTTCCTATTGATAGCTTTGTTTTAACCCATTTCTAGAGCTGCTTCACAGTCTTACTAACGTTCTCTTCCTCTCACACAACTCTGTTACTCATGCTCATTAGTTAAGCTTCAGCCATCTTTTGCACAATCGTCACTGGATGCATTTTCAACTAGACATACTTAGTCTAACAAGTTCTGCAGGACAAAGCTACCCTTAACAGTAGAGTTGGCCTTGTCTAATAGGACCAGTAGTTCAAATGAGGCAGCCTTCACAATGGTGCTACCATGACAGGTGCAAGCCTAATCCAGGCGGACCAGGGTATAAGAAGAGCTTCCCCTTCAGTCCATTCAATCACCTGTCTGTCTGAATGCAGTGCAGTGCTAAGTTCTGTCACTGGTCGGAGGCGAGTCCTAAGAGATTGGACTGCGTGCTAATTAAGCAGGCATGGTACTTCTAATCTGAAGAACTGGAATCCATCTTACGTCGGAAGGGATACGCTGTCAGTGAACAACTTATGCCCAGGAGAAGAAACATTCTCTACTGCTGCTATTATATTTTTTTATCTGGGGACAATACACTATATTTATGAAAGTGTTTTTAAGTTCAACTAGAAATCACTGGAACAACTCTAGAAAGTTTTATAGTCCTATATGCCTGTATTTGTTTTAGATTTTGCTTTTTAAAGATTCAAGCTTTTATAAAGAATTGAGACAGACTAGATGATGTCTTAAGGTTCCCTGAATTCTGTCAATGACAGTTTTTTTAAAGATGTGATTTAAGAGTTACATTTGTCAAGGATGAGTCAAAGAACTATCAGGAGACCATGCTCTAATACACACAAGCTTAAGCTATAAGGTACAAACTACTCCTAGATGCTATACGAAATTCACTGGATGGTTAAAAGAATCAAATCACTGTTTTCCAAAGTGTGTCTAAATATATAGCAGAGGCCATTCCATGAACCTTAGGGATTAACCATTGCCTTTGGGTACTTAATATCTTCAGCCTCAATTGCCTGACAAGGGGTTACAATTACTACTCACACCACAGTAGACAGGTAGCAGATAATTCAGATATCAGACATGCAATATATTCAACACTGTGGGCAACAAATGAGTTTATTGGGTGGAAAGGACACTCAGGTGTGTTTAAGGATACCTATTACATAGAGTACAGAGAATACGCTGACAATATTTTCCACTATTCACTTTTATAGTCTTCACTTTTTATATATATTTTTCACTATTTTATATATAAATCTTAAACTTAGGATTTAATATGTTACTGCTGAAATATACAAGAATTAGTTTCAGGAGTTTATGTCTATAACATATACAGAGCTTAGAAATCTAAAAACAAATATTCAATCCACTCAAGACCTCTTAAAACCACAAAGCATGGAATATACCGAGACTTTATATAGCTCCACATTATTTTCCAAGCTAATCTCATGACTGGAATGAGTTATAGTGCATTAACTACAAAATTATGTCAAAAGGCTTCACTTACTTTATGACAAAAACACAGTAAGAAGCAGACTTTTTTGAAATGTTTAAACTTTGCTAATGTTCAATACACAATCTAATGTGAATCTTATTAAACAAACATTACACGTGGTTCAAAGTTCTTTATCACTAAAATGGTTAACAAGCCAAGAAGCTAAACATGAAGTCCTAATTTACTCTTTGGCATCAGGCAAAAGATCAGAAATTATAACTCAGGACCATACTGCCACCGCCCAATCTTATAACAGGCTGTGTGACTCACATGTGAGACTCAGTGCTCCGGAAACTGACTTTGGAACTACTCTGAGGTTTATTGTTGTAAAGGTTCTCAGTGCACACATGTGAGATGTCCTTAGTCTTTATGTGCTCTGTACCAGCTGGAAATGATTATATTTCTTAAATAGTCGTTGTGATGACTTAAAAAAATTCTGTAACAGCCCTACTTCAAAAATACCTCACCAAATACTTTACAACATGATGAGATGAAGTGAAAAGATAAGCTACTAAAAAGGAGAGGCAATATCTGGCAGAGATAAAACTTATAAATAATACAGATCTAAACTTCAGACTACCTAAGAGAACAGAGAACTGATAACTTTGGGCAGAAGTTAACTCAGTAAGGGTTCATAAAAAAAACTAAAGAAGTTGGCAAGGAAATAGTAAGGCTTGATTACAAGCTACTTTTTCATCCTCCAAGCACCAAAGGGAGAGTATTACTATGGCTGCTGCTAAAGGACCACATGAGCCACAACCTGTGGTTCCAACAGACATGGACCACTCCACAGGGAATGCGTATGCAAGTCCACCTCTGTTTACATCTGACATTGCTGTGTGGGGACTGGAAGTCAGAATGTAGTGATGCGTCTCATCTCCATCGCACAGCTGCTATTCTGTCAAAGCACATTCTCATAATTTCATTATTTAACTGTGTGTGAAGGTCTCCTTCTATAGGCTGGTAAGAATGTGTACTGTACCTGGATCTGTGTCACAGTTCCCTCAGAAATCTCATCATCTGCCACTTCCGTGGTTGCGGTCATGGTCACCTCAAAGCTCTGATCATTTTCTGAAACTTCAAGAAAAGAGTAATTCATCTCTGGAATAGAAACAGGATTTATTTATTCTAAAAACATCCATGCGGGCCGGGGATTTAGCTCAGCGGTTCGGTGGCCTGCCTTGCAAGCGCAAGGACCCAAGTTCAATCCCCGGTATAAAAAAAAAAAAAAAAAAAAAAA